AAAAATGCAGCTCCCAGGCCTGGGGGCCCCTTCCCTGGCCCCATGGTGAGGGCTGAAAGGGGGCTTGGGCAGCCAGGCTGGCCCCACCGCCCCTCTTAATCAGCCGGGGCATGCATGAAGCCTAATACTGTCATGAGGATTTCGGCACTATTGACACACACGGCGCGTTAAACGCCTTATGGGGGATTTGCATAAGCTTGGGGAGGGAGGAAGAGCAGAGAGAAAAGTGTCGACAATGGGAAAGTAAATGCATTAAAGTGCTTAGGAAAAAAAAAAATCTGATAAAGGAATAAACCAGTTAAGGGAATATATTACTCGTAGCCCAGTTATTCAAATCCTGCCTTATAGGAAATCCTCTTAAAGCAATCACCTGATTGTGTGTTAAAATCCTAATTGAATAATAAAAGAATTATGTATTTCTTCCATAAAGGCACAAGGACGGGAGCCCACGCGGATGTTCACTCAGGGGGAGGCTGGTGGCAGAGGAGGTGCAGGGCAAAAGCATCAGCACCACCCAGGAGGGATGTGATGGGAGACCTGGGTCCAAGGGAGGATACAGGCGCTGGGAGGGATGCCAGGGGAAGGCTGCACTGCCAAGCACCTTTAAGGGCAGCGGAAGAAAGCTTTACTGGGGTGGGGATGGGGAGTGGCGGTGCCCAGGGGGAGGAGGAGGACCCGATGGAGCTCCAGGGCTCCTCCAGCCCTGTTGCTGCAAGAGCACGGGGCTCAGCAAAGGCACCAAACCTGACCCCTGCCCAGCGCAGCAACTGCAACCGCCCAGCATGCAGGCAAAGGGGACTGAGGGGGGGCTACAGCAGCCCCTGGAGCTGCTCAGGAATAAAGTTGGGGGCCCACGTCCAGCTCTGGGGTAACCCTACTGCTGACACAGGTCTTGCAGCAGAGGCATGGCCCCCACCACCCCCTCACCACTCCCCCTGCCACCTTGCCCCCCAGTTTTCTCAGGCAGGGCTGAGGGTGATGCCTGCAGGGTCTCTCCTGTCCTGCCTGCTGCTGCCCTTCCCCCTGCCTCCACACGGTAAAGATGCAAAAAAAAA